TTACGTGCTAATACCCTTTATTAGGAAAAGTTATGAATCCATCTCTTCATTCTTTCTTATGATAATGTGTGCTTATTAGGAGGCATGGAAGAGTAATGGATTGTGGCTTGGATTGAGGAATCGGAGAGACGAGTTCGAATTCCAGTCGAATCCATTACATTTACTTACGTGCTAATACCCTTGGGAAAGGTATGAATCCATCTCTTCTTTCTTTCTTTGGATTATGTGTGTTTATTAGGAGGCATGGAAGAGTAATGGATTGTGTCTTGGATTGAGGAATCGGAGAGCCGAGTTCGAATTCCAGTCGAATCCATTACATTCACTTACGTGCTAATACCCTTGGGAAAGGTATGAATCCATCTCTTCATTCTTTCTTATGATCATGTGTGCTTATTAGGAGGCATGGAAGAGTAATGGATTGTGGCTTGGATTGAGGAATCGGAGAGCCGAGTTCGAATTCCAGTCGAATCCATTACATTTACTTACGTGCTAATACCCTTGGGAAAGGTATGAATCCATCTCTTCTTTCTTTCTTAGGATTATGTGTGTTTATTAGGAGGCATGGAAGAGTAATGGATTGTGGCTTGGATTGAGGAATCGGAGAGCCGAGTTCGAATTCCAGTCGAATCTATTACATTTACTTACGTGCTAATATCCTTGGGAAAGGTATGAATCCATCTCTTCTTTCTTTCTTAGGATTATGTGTGTTTATTAGGAGGCATCGACGAGTAATGGATTGTGGCTTGGATTGAGGAATCGGAGAGCCGATTTCGAATTCCAGTCGAATCCATTACATTCACTTACGTGCTAATACCCTTGGGAAAGGTATGAATCCATCTCTTCATTCTTTCTTATGATAATGTGTGCTTATTAGGAGGCATGGAAGAGTAATGGATTGTGGCTTGGATTGAGGAATCGGAGAGCCGAGTTCGAATTCCAGTCGAATCCATTACATTTACTTACGTGCTAATACCCTTGGGAAATGTATGAATCCATCTCTTCTTTCTTTCTTTGGATTATGTGTGTTTATTAGGAGGCATGGAAGAGTAATGGATTGTTGCTTGGATTGAGGAATCGGAGAGCCGAGTTCGAATTCCAGTCGAATCTATTACATTTACTTACGTGCTAATACCCTTGTGAAAGGTATGAATCCATCTCTTCTTTCTTTCTTTGGATTATGTGTGTTTATTAGGAGGCATGGAAGAGTAATGGATTGTGGCTTGGATTGAGGAATCGGAGAGCCGAGTTCGAATTCCAGTTGAATCCATTACATTTACTTACGTGCTAATACCCTTGGGAAAGGTATGAATCCATCTCTTCTTTCTTTCTTTGGATTATGTGTGTTTATTAGGAGGCATGGAAGTGTAATGGATTGTGGCTTGGATTGAGGAATCGGAGAGCCGTGTTCGAATTCCAGTCGAATCTATTACATTCACTTACGTGCTAATACCCTTGGGAAAGTTATGAATCCATCTCTTCATTCTTTCTTATGATAATGTGTGCTTATTAGGAGGAATGGAAGAGTAATGGATTGTGGCTTGGATTGAGGAATCGGAGAGACGAGTTCGAATTCCAGTCGAATCCATTACATTTACTTACGTGCTAATACCCTTGGGAAAGGTATGAATCCATCTCTTCTTTCTTTCTTTGGATTATGTGTGTTTATTAGGAGGCATGGAAGAGTAATGGATTGTGTCTTGGATTGAGGAATCGGAGAGCCGAGTTCGAATTCCAGTCGAATCCATTACATTCACTTACGTGCTAATACCCTTGGGAAAGGTATGAATCCATCTCTTCATTCTTTCTTACGATCATGTGTGCTTATTAGGAGGCATGGAAGAGTAATGGATTGTGGCTTGGATTGAGGAATCGGAGAGCCGAGTTCGAATTCCAGTCGAATCCATTACATTTACTTACGTGCTAATATCCTTGGGAAAGGTATGAATCCATCTCTTCTTTCTTTCTTAGGATTATGTGTGTTTATTAGGAGGCATGGAAGAGTAATGGATTGTGGCTTGGATTGAGGAATCGGAGAGCCGAGTTCGAATTCCAGTCGAATACAATACATTCACTTACGTGTTAATACCCTTGGGAAAATATGAATCCATATCTTCATTCTTTCTTATGATAATGTGTGCTTATTGGGAGGCATGGAAGAGTAATGGATTGTGGCTTGGATTGAGGAATCGGAGAGCCGAGTTCAAATTCCAGTCGAATCCATTACATTCACTTACGTGCTAATAACCTTGGGAAAGGTATGAATCCATCTCTTCATTCTTTCTTATGATAATGTGTGCTTATTAGGAGGCATGGAAGAGTAATGGATTGTGGCTTGGATCGAGGCTTCGGAGAGCCGAGTTCGAATTCCAGTCGAATCCATTACATTTACTTACGTGCTAATACCCTTGGGAAAGGTATGAATCCATCTCTTCTTTCTGTCTTAGTATTATGTGTGTTTACTAGGAGGCATGGAAGAGTAATATATAGTGGCTTGTATTGAGGAATCGGAGAGCCGAGTTCGAATTCCATTCGAATCCATTACATTCACTTACGTGCCAATACCCTTGGGAAAGGTATGAATCCATCTCTTCTTTCTTTCTTAGGATTATGTGTGTTTATTAGGAGGCATGGAAGAGTAATGGATTATGGCTTGGATTGAGGAATCGGAGAGCCGAGTTCGAATTCCAGTGGTATCCATTACATTCACTTACGTGCTAATACCCTTGGGAAAATATGAATCCATATCTTCATTCTTTCTTATGATAATGTGTGCTTATTAGGAGGCATGGAAGAGTAATGGATTGTGGCTTGGATTGAGGAATCGGAGAGCCGAGTTCGAATTCCAGTCGAATCCATTACATTCACTTACGTGCTAATACCTTTGGGAAAGGTATGAATCCATCTCTTCATTCTTTCTTATGATAATGTGTGCTTATTAGGAGGCATGGAAGAGTAATGGATTGTGGCTTGGATTGAGGAATCGGAGAGCCGGGTTCGAATTCCAGTCGAATCCATTACATTTACTTACGTGCTAATACCCTTGGGAAAGGTATGTATTCATCTCTTCTTTCTTTCTTATGATTATGTGTGTTTATTAGGAGGCATGGAAGATTAATGGATTGTGGCTTGGATTGAGGAATCGGAGAGACGAGACCGAAATCCAGTCGAATTCATTACATTCACTTACGTGCTAATACCCTTGGGAAAGTTATGAATCCATCTCTTCTTTCTTTCTTTGGATTATGTGTGTTTATTAGGAGGCATGGAAGAGTAATGGATTGTGGCTTGGATTGAGGCATCGGAGAGCCGAGTTCGAATTCCAGTCGAATCCATTACATTTACTTACGTGCTAATACCCTTGGGAAATGTATGAATCCATCTCTTCTTTCTTTCTTAGGATTGTGTGTGTTTATTAGGAGGCATGGAAAAGTAATGGATTGTGGCTTGGATTGAAGAATCGGAGAGCCGAGTCCGAATTCCAGTCGAATCCATTACATTTACTTACGTGCTAATACCTTTGGGAAAGGTATGAATCCATCTCTTCATTCTTTCTTATGATAATGTGTGCTTATTAGGAGGCATGGATGAGTAATGGATTGTGTCTTGGATTGAGGAATCGGTGAGCCGATTTCGCATTACAGTCGAATCCATTACATTTACTTACGTGCTAATACCCTTGGGAAAGGCATGAATCTATCTCTTCATTCTTTCTTATGATTATGTGTGCTTATTAGGAGACATGGAAGAATAATGGATTGTGGCTTGGTTTGAGGAATCGGGAGACGAGACCGAAATCCAGTCGAATCCATTACATTCACTTACGTGCTAATACCCTTGGGAAAGGTATGAATCCATCTCTTCTTTCTTTCTTATGATTATGTGTGTTTATTAGGAGGCATGGAAGAATAATGGATTGTGGCTCGGATTGAAGAATCGGAGAGCCGAGTTCGAATTCCCGTCGAATCCATTACATTCAGTTACTTGCTAATAACCTTGCGAAAGGTATGAATCCTCTTCTTCTACCCCCCCAACAACTATGGATAAACAGCAGGACAGATTGGCTTCGAAAGCATGAGATAGCAACTGGTCTACCACTGGAAGAAATGGCAACTTACTGCGGGAGGACAATTCTGCTTCGTCAGTTATGTATCGAAAGATACATGATCGCCTAAGCGCATATCACGCATAGCACATAACTGAACTGAAAAACAATCTCATCTAAAATATAAAAAGCAAAAATCCAAATTTCAATCGGAGGGTTTTATTATGTCACTGTTTGGGGATATGTATTTGATGCAATATTTGATTGAATGAATTGTTGAGCAGATTTCAACATTGATATGACAATTGAATTATGGCAACAGTTATGTATTGTAAGGCCCAACGGACTGATTTATAATTTTTTTGATCAATTTCACGACTATATTGTCTCATTTTGGTCGTGCCGATATGGCATCTATTTTCTGCCTTTCTCTTTCTATATTTTGTATGTGAGTCATTCCTTTGTTCAAATATAAATTTAATTTAATCAAAGGGAAAAGAATTTTCAGTGAGGGGTTGTTCTCCCAGGAACTCATTTGATCAAAATGACATATACTTATCCAAGTACCCTGGATAATGTAGTTTAGAGTATATAATAGTTATGGGGATGCAAACACTAGGAGGAGTTCCATAACAAACAAACAGGAAGTCAGAAGCTACAACTTTACGTGCGCACACACACACACACACACATATATATATATATATATTTATATATTTAAATAATTTTTATGGTACTATATTTAAAGGTAGCTAGGAATAAGCAAAATATATATGGCATTTTAAAAAGCTAAAAAAAAGTATAACCGTTTTCGTCCCAGGATTATCAAGTTTATTTTCTGGGACAGGGGTATTTGTGCCTAAGTGAATACAACAAACCCAACACAAATTGGAACTTCTTTCTCTGATTAACAATTCCGAGTCACTATCTATTACACCACCTTCACATCTACGCTTAGAGCACCTGGTATTCTCTAGAGGTCAACCATCTTAGTATTGACCAAGATCGGCGTTGCTTAACTTCGTCGATCGTACGGAAATCGGTGTTTCAACGCGATGTGACCGTAAGTCTTCCTTACAACGAATAACAGCAAAGGCAGAAGAGTCAGCAATGGTACACACCTGCATTTTTTCTGATAATCACATAGCTTTAACTCAATAGTTCTTACTTTGTGGAAAATACTCCTGAATGAATGACTCACCAAATATTCTTAACCTCTTCAAGCCTAGGGTCAATCATTATCTATCGTCTGTATCCTTATAATCTTTAGCCATTATTTCCATCTCTTAAATTGATATCACACACCTCATTCAGTACCCATATTTATTAAGTGTTTCTTGAGCCCTGTATTGGATGAATTTATTTAAAAAAAAAGGAATGGCACTTCACGCGATACCTTGTATCATTGAGAGTATTCAAGGAGAAACTTTTTAACTTCGTTCTGCATCTATCTATATTCCTGAGATGAGGTATTATGTAAACTATTTACATTATTCGTGCAGCTGTGGAAAGAAATATAAAGGGGAGACAAACCGCCCCCTTGAGGTAAGGCTTCAAGAACACCAGAAATCTGTAACATGAGGGGAAGTGGAAAAATCAGGCGTAGCTGACAACATATGGAGAGAAGAAAAATGAGATCTCCGCCCTCTGTGGGATCAAGCTGAGATCATAGACAAAGAACATCATTGGCAAATTCGTAAATGTAAGGAATCAGCACATATGCTAAGCCACAAAAATCTCCTGAGCCGACCAAGAATAGAAATGAATACAATATGGGAACCAGTAATAAGGAGTGCCAGAAAAAAAGCGATAATAACAACAAAAATTGCAATATGTGCTCTGGTAAAAAAACATGCAATGACAACAGCAAAAATTGCAATATGAGCACTGGTAAAAAAATTTGCTGAAGACATTAGGTTTATAATGCCCGGAAATTCATGCACAGATGTTCTCGTTAATTAGATCCAGTGACAAAACCCAAAGAGTGTGAGTTCAATACCCGGTTAAGGCAGTGGAGAACTTTGAGAGGAGAATTAACAGGAGATAACTGACATCCATTAGACATTAGAAGAGTCTGACCCAGTGAGCGAAATAAAGGGATCAGTTCGACATTCCAACCACCTGAAGAACTCCGGAGCGTACAATGACCGAAAAGTTGTGATAAACATGGCGACAATGATGAGGACAATAGTCTGAATAATGCAAATAGTGTTCGTTCTGTATGTTTTTTTCTCTTTGCCTAATTTCCGTCGCGACAAACGCAAAGGCATAAAAAAAGATAATTGTCCAAAGCGCCAACGTTCTACTGCTTGAACTGAATAATAAAATTAACTTGCAAATATTGATTTAAGTAGAGCGCATACTACTAAACTGACCCTCGGCAGACGTTGGGAGAGTGCTACTTAAAGAGAGCGTACAGATGCTGTCCTGTGAGGTAAAGTGCAAATTCATACGTAAAAGTTTCCGCCATTCTAATCTAAGATGACAGAGATTTCTGACTAGAGTTATTTTCCTTTCAATCAAAACTAGCACTCTCTAATCCTTGAGATGAAAAGAGAGATATAGTTGTCTTAAGGTTATGTACTATCAACAAACGTAAATATTCTGGTGTAATGGTCAGCTAGGTGGACTTATAAACCATTAGTATTAACTTTTACCCTCATTAGGTGCATCGTAGGTGTGGCCTCGCACCCAAACTAAGCCATCATTTGGCTGGAAAATTCCAATTCTTGTCAGTTTTCTGGATATTACGATTACCAAAAGACACACTGGATCATTGTGTAAGTTTTAGCAAAAAAAAATTAACATTATTTAAACTCTATTGATAACAATGACCAAAATGAATTTAAATATTTTATAAAGTGATGTCCAAGTTTCCTAAAATTTATAGAATATAAAAAATAAATTTGTCTAATATACAAAACTCCGGTGCTGTGTCTCTTCAGGATGTAGGCGATCATGGCTGTCCACTTCTTCCGGTCCCTTGTAGCTTTCAATAAGATTTGACTTGTTATTTCTTCCAGACCCTGTTCTTCCATCCACTTGCTTAAGACCGTTAAGCATGTCACGCGTTGATTTTACTTATCTCTCTTTCCCTCTATGCGCCCTGTGAGAATCAGATTTCCCAAACCTTTCCTTTCTCATTATGTCTCTCAGAAATTTCAGCCGCCTCTTCCTGATGTTAAGTATGAATTTTCCTTTTATTTGCATCCTCTCCAAAACCTCATCTTTGCTCACATGTTTGGTCTATGGTATGGATTTTATAATTCTCATAATGATCGTAGACTCAAGCAAAAGGCACTGGAAGGCAATTTCATCCTTTTTGGGCTTTATCAGCGTTGATGCGCATCTCTGTATCCTCGTATAAGCAGGGGTATATTCTCTAGCAGGTCTGGGAGTGTGTTCCAAATAAAGTCACTGTAGACAGCTCCTGCAACTTGTGCTGGGAGGACATATGGACCTACCAGACAGTTACCTACAATTCCACACCACACATTAATCGTAAACTGATGCTGATATTTAGCCTATATTGTATCATGGGGATTCGGATCCGCTAACAAATATTTGTTGTGTAAATTAATTATTCAATTTCTTCCAAATGTTGCCTCATCCGTAAACAAGACTGAAGAGACAAACAATGGATAAGCAGTTTGTCCAATAAACCATCGGCAAGAAGTTCTCCCGTGGTGAGACCCTGCACACGTTGCAAATGATACGGATACAGGAACTGCTCTTGAATTAACCTCCATGGGGTACTATGAGTCGTACGTCATTCTATGGCCACTTGATGTGAGCTGATACCTGTCGTTCCCGACAACCTGTAGAATGTGTTCCTCGTGGTTAGGCTTACAAAGTTCTTCCTCATGGGTTCCCGGATCCTGCCTCAACAACACAACAATGAACTTCGGCAAAGGTTGAATGACTCGATTGTCTTCGGTGTGAAAACGCAAACTGATACAGCCGTACAGCCTAGCGTTTGTTATCATTCGCGTGGCTGTATATCATGCCGTTTTTAAACGTAACACTTCTCAATCAACTCACTGCTACACACGTTAAACGATGAAATACAGACTAGCCACAAATATACACGAATGGCAAATCTAACCTAGTCTACAGGGAAACATAGCGCCATGCCCTTAAACATTCTTCAAACTTAGTAACTCAAAAACTAAGGATTTGCCGACATATGTTTATAGGGAGTTTTGTTCTTGTTTTGATTTGGGGAACCCGCCTTCACTATTCGGAAAAGTATTTGGTTGCACTCTTTATATAAGAGTGTGTGCGCGTGAAGCTTTATTAGAGAACTTACTACTACCATACTAGGATTTAACGTACAAGCGCTGAACCACACACAAATAATCTATTCACTGTTGACGAATACTTTGCTATTATATATTAGGCAAGGATTTTATCATTTACACAAATAAATAATCGTTCCAATGGCAATTAAAACTATTAAGTTGGTATAAACGGTAAATTACATTATTTCTGACAAGTTCCTTTCGATTGTTAAATGAAAACAAAATCTATATCTCTGTTATTAAGCGGACGGGTGTAAATGTTAGAAAACCTGACCTCTGACCACATAACATTGTGAATATGCCAGGGTATTATGCATTCATTATGGCAGATATTTTCACAGGAATTTTTATAAAGTTAATTTCACCGCTCAGCAATTTTGTATTTGTTTTTAATAATGAATATCAAATAAACTTTTGTTAATTCAGAAATGCCGATTCTAATATTTCATCAAGTTTAAGGATAGTCTACACCAGAGGTCGTTAACCTACGGTACACATGCCACACGTGGCACGCCAAGCAATTTCTAATGTCACGCAGCCGCAAATGACATCACAAAGTCCGAACCAATAACTACTACAACGCAAAGATATTTAGATGTTTCAATTTTAGTATATACTAAAATATATATACTATATATTACTATATAAAATATATTGTAGAACAGGCATATTGACCTTATATGAAAAAATATATATATACCGTTGGCACACTGAATGATTTTAAAACCCTAAGTCGGCACATGGTCAGCAAAAGGTAGACGACCCCCCCCTGCTCTGGGTCACGGCTAAAGCGAATGAAATAAAATAATTCTAATTATAAGAGTAGATAGGTTTGTCATTAGGAATAGATAGATTCGCCTATTATATACATTTCTCAACTTATGTGCTTCTGTTAATGTTTGTCTAACTCAGAGGTCGGCAACCTGCGGCACGCATGCCACACGTGGCACGCCATGCAATTTCTAATGGCACGCAGCCCCAAATGATATCACGAAGTCCCAACCAATAACTACTACAACTGTTTCAATTTTAATATATACTTAAGTATATACACTATATATTACCATATAAAATACATTGTAGAACACATATATTGACTTTGACTTGTATAAAATAAATACGTATGCTGTTGGCAAATTGAATGATTTTAAAACCCTAAGTCGGCACATAGCAAAACGTTGCCGATCCCTGGTCTATACACAAAATCGCCATTTAAAATACATATGTACCTCAATCTCTTTGTATCTCGTTAACCATCCTTCCGTTTTCTTTTACAGTGAGAGTCACTCACAAGGCTCAGGGGACACTCGAGGTAGAGGTTTACGTTAGGAGACCCCGTTTGTGTGAAAGATAACGGTTAACCCTAGCCTTGAATAGGTTAAAATTGTAGTGATCGGGAAAACATTCTATTGGGAGTCGGTTCCACAGGGCAGTGGTTCGCTGGAAGAAGCTGTTCGAATGGAATTTAATTGCCACCGACGGAACATGGGGAGAATGTGGGTGGATTGCTACTATGCAAGTGGCGTGAAGTTTTCTTGCCACAAAGATTTGCCTAGGAAATTTCCATGAAAGTAACGGTAGATCAGCGAGAGGATTTTGCTTAATCTCGCCTGTGGGAGAAGGGTTGAAGGTTGGAGAATAATTCGTCACCCACAAGAGATCGGAGACGCTTTTGAACTCTATCAAGGCGAGAGAACAATGGATCGTATGTACGAGTTCCATTTGAGGTTGGGTGTTAGTTTGGGGCCAAACAATCTTGCAAGGTA